ACCCTATAGATTTTTTTCTACTCTTTAATAACATCTGAATATTTTTTAAAGAAATTATAACTTTATTAACCTTAAAGGAAATGTTATTCTTTTTCCTTTCATTTTCCTTGCACCTTTAAATCAGAAAGAAAACTTCACCTACATTAACTTAAGAGGCCCTAAAGGAATGATAAACACATTTAGCTGTTTTAAACTATACCTTTAACTTATACATTTCTCAAGGGAAATTCTTCAAAGGGTGCTATGGGTCTGTTGCTATGCAGAGCCAGCTGAGCTTAATGCAGATGAAGCAGATTGCTGGCAAACACTCACAACAAGATGTGAACTGTGAAACCCAGAAATCTTTGTTTACTGTCTAGCCTGGCTCTTTACTAATCATTCTATTCACTTCATGTGTTAAGGGTACTAAGACATGGCTGTTGTCAGAAAAGGACAGAATACAAATAGGTAAATTCTGCATGCTGAAATCAACAGAATCATTCATGACATAGGATTTGCAAATGTACCCCAGAGTGATTGAGAGATACAGACTTACATCAAGTGACAGAAACTTCAAAAAACCCTAGCATATCAACAAAGCCAGGGCATCTTCATGTAGGCTTGCTCTTTTATTTCACCAAATAGAAGGAAATTCAACTTAGCCTGGCCTGAAAATAAGAGGGTCATGAAGGTTAGTAATTAGGCTGAGGAATAGATCAGAGCTACATCCATATTTTTAAAGATCTGATTATTATGTGACTGGTCTAATCATGACTAACTGAACATATTCTGTCTGTAATATGCAGTTTCTCATGTCACCTCATTTTTATCAGCAACAATGTGGTCCATTTTTTAACATGAAACAATTCATTTCTACAGAAGTAAACTTTTCTTTCAAATGTGTCACCAAAGGATGCTGGCAGTTGAGAAACCATCAGTATTGAATCTATACCCAGCAGGCAAAGCTGTCTCCTATCATTGAACAGCATCCTCTGGTATCAACAATTTTGTTGTAGAGCTGCATTGGTTAATAGCTATTTTGTTGCAAATGAACACATCTTGGGAACACAAAAGAATAGCACTGTTTTGAAGAAAAAAAAAAAAAAAAATATATATATATATATATATATATATATATATATACAAGCAAAATTTCCTTTTAACTTCACCTTCCATCAGTCTCATATGGTACCCAGTTACTCATATGGTCATTTGAAACATAATATTCAGCTGATCAGTTAAAGTGAATAATAAAGTTTATTATTCAGGCTATGATTTGTTAGCTCATTAAGATCTAAATACTCCAACACACATTGTGAAGCCTGTTCTCTTCAGCAATGCAACATTTTGTTTCATCTGTTTCTCAGTTGATTTCTGTGTACCTATATTCCCCACTACCCTTGAGATTATGTTTCTTCAAATCAAGTGGCAGCTGCAGGATGCAATTTATAAAGAGAACAAACTTGAAGATCCTGAAACACAACAAAAAGTTCAAGAAAATCCAAAATCAAAATTTCAAACTAAAATCCAGAAAACATAGAAAAAAGTCTATTTCTAGGCAAGATATAGAACGGAAGCAGAAAAAGGTTAAAAATAAAATTTAAAAAAAAGCAAAGAAAGTACAAGCAACTAGTCTCTTAGAAAATCAATTAAGAGTGAAAATATTAATGGCTTTCACAGATACAAGTGTGCATTTATTATCTCTGACAGCCTGCTTTTTATCATACTTCTGGTATTAGTTTTCTCTCAGCTTTGTACACAGCATATGTTCACTTTGAACAACCTTTCAGAAAATAGCTGGAGACAAATATTGTTAAAGAATTTGCAATAAACAGCAACCTTTTTTTTTTTAGAAAACACCTTTTTGTTCCTATCATAACAGGCCTTTTCCACATAATTTTCTTAAAAGCCAAGGTTGGGGTCAAGATTCAGAAGGTCAAAAAAAAATACTTGTACAAGTAGTGACATGACCTAGGATGAGCTACAAAGCATAAGCACACACTACTCACTTCAAAATCATTCAGAGAAGGCACTGGGCTAACACCCTGCAGAAACAACAAAAAAAACCACCAAAAAACAACCAAACCAAACAAAACAAACAAAAAACCCAAAACAAAACAAACAAACAAACAAAAAAACAAAGAAAAAAACCAAGAACCCAACTCCAAAACAAACAAAAAAAATTACCTGCTTCACAGTTAAAATACCATGTGAAAAAGACTGAAAAACACACAAACCTTTTCTTTATAACCAAAAGCTAAATTTCATGGGAAAAATAGGATCAGGTTCTTGTTCCTGAAAGTTGCCAAACACAAACTGCAAACTTAAATGAACAAAAAATGAAGCTAAATCTGCAAAACTGAGCTGCAGAACACTAGATGCAGCTCAGCTGCACCTCCCATGGGCTACAGGTCTTTGCAGCAATAAGGAGGCTGAACTACCTGTGCCTCTGGATCTCACAGATGCTGCCTGTGCCAGCCCACATAAAGCAAAAGATATCCATAGGGCTTCATTTATTCAACTTATGTGTCTTTAAAAACAAACATAAACACACAGGGACATCCACGGCTGCTGCAACTTGCTTGCCTCCTTACATTTAAGAATGGTTTCTAGGCCAAATATCCGTCTCTGAAAAATCTCCTGTGTATAGCTCAGGAACTAGAAGAGGACTACTCTAAATACAGTTTTTAAGCAGTATTTATAGAGCAAGAGACTTCAAATTTACAGATTGTACCAGCTGTCTAGTTCCCAAAAATCTGGGTGAGAAATCACCTTTTCTATTCTAGGAATACAGCTATTTTGTGGTCTTTCACTTAATACCAAATGTATTTACTGTGCTTTCAGAGGCAGACAGAATCAGGTCTGGCTACCAATACTTTCTGAAAGGTAACAATGGTTTTCATATTCCAGACAAGAATAGCAGGATTTTAAAATTTGAAATATGTACACTGGACCGCATCACGAAGTTTTGTGAGATGTGAAGTGGCAAAATAATATCAACAAAGAAAGAGGACAACACAAGCACATTGTTTTACTAACAATAGTTTTATTTTATGCAGGATGTTTCAGAAAATTTTGTTAGGACAGTGTATACACTGGAATTGCTCAGACACAGATATCTACTTAAATGTAAGATCATACACATTAAATCCAAATTCATCCTACTTCATCTGAGGCCTGTCACTGGGCATCTAAATTAAGGGTTTCACCAATCCTGGCTTTTGAGTATTTAAAAAGATAGCAGCAATGTCTGATTTACCTTTGAGGGCAACACTCATTTTCCATTGATTCTAGGGTGACAAGACTCCTTATTTAGATGTGAAAGTTAAATTACCTAATGTGACATAGATTAATTCAGGTCATGTTCTTAAAACTCCACAATACCTTTCTCAGTAAAGGCAGTAAACAAAGTGTTGAATTTATACCACCATAAATTAAGCTTTCAGAAATTATTCTGTGTGAATGAGATCAGACTGTCTTTGTTCTCCTCCATCACAAATAACTCTCAGCACATTGCCTGCTCAAAAGATGTATAGTTTAATTTGAAACAGCATCATTTCAGCCACATGAAACAGCACTTTCCCATTATTAAGTATTTTCAGAGACAGCATGAGATTATCCGTTCACATCCCTTATGAGAATAGTGTTGATCACACACCAGCAAATGTTTCCTCACTAAAGAAAATCAGAGTCCTGACATTTGAAAATTGTGCTTTGTAGATTACTTTGAATATATGTTTGTTTCTATACCTCCTTTTATGGGCTTGTAAATTTATCAGGAAGCCTACAGCCTTTGATTAGACTTACAGTGCAATTTATATTTTTTAAATTATTAGAATACCCTTCCTTTTGCCACTAAATATCAAGAAGAATCATCTTGAATGATCACTTACAGTATTTATTTCCTGCCATTTCTTCTGTTCTGGAATATTCAGGCTAACTAGTTGATAATAAATTTTTGACAGCAGATGACAGTATTTTGTTCCTGTTGAAAGCAAGGGCACAACATTCACTGAGGTCACCAAGGCATCATGCCACTTATGGTCCAATTCTGAACAGCTCACAATTTACAGATTTGATCCATAATTCATGGTCTGTATTGCACACTGAGATATGGTATTTGAGACAGTAAGTCTCCAGAAAGACTCTTCACTTGGAAAACAGCCCATTCCTCATGAGATTTAAGCAAATCAGGTTTTAGTCTGAACAAAATCTAATAAAGGTGTACAGAAGAAATGAAAGCTTATGCCCTGACCATAGAACTGTAAGGATCCAGTACTTATCCTCTTGAAGAAAATTTGTATGTAAATAAAAAGAAATAATTTTTATAAATTACTAAGTCACCTAAACAAGTATCACAGCTTCTAATTACAAAATATTCTAGCATATGGAACCCAACATATGGGCCACTTGCAAACGGGATCATTTTTGCAACTTGCAGAAATATTGATAACATGTTTTCCTCCTTTATCTTGAACTGTGCACTTCAAATATTTTCAGGAAATGCAGCATTATGTTCCAGTTAATATATGTTTACATTCACGAAATAAATAGTGTCTTTAATGGTAGTAATTGACTGTAGGATGGATAGGAGTTTGCTACTAATTATTCCATATTGTTTCAACGGCAAATGAAACCATTTTTACAGTTTCAAAAAAATTCTGATCCATAACTGAAGCTTTACAAATCAGTTAACAATAACTTTATAAAATCTGAAAAGCAATTTGTATTTGAATTGCATTCTAGCACTAACAGAATAGTATTACACTGTCAAATGAGTTGTGCCATATATTTTACATAACTGAGGATCTTGTGCAGAAATTAAACTCTGGATCTGACAAGTTCAAGCAGAAATCTGATGAGGACTGAATGCCAGCTGCACACAAAAAGGGTGAAGGAACCAGCCTGCCCATGATACTGACCATCAGCTCCACAGACACTGCTCTTGGAAAAAGCCTGCTGGGAGCACTAGAGGCATTTAGATGTGCTCAGAGACTACAGATTTAACCTGTTTGATGCCAAGACCCATGTGCATCTCCCCAAGGCCAATGTCACTTACTTACAAAGTAAATAACTGAAATGTTTTCCTTGGTATTTACTTTTCTTATGCTTCCAAATATGATTTAGAGGCAAGAATTTAAATAAAAACTGCCTTTTTAAAAATACATTAGAATCTTAGCTGTGTCATAACTGGACAATTCAAACTACAATACAGTACAAATAATTATCAACATTTAATAGAGGGAGAGAAAGAAAGAAAAGAAGTAGTGAGACTAAGTTTTCATTAGTGTATTTATGAAAGTGTCAGAACACTTTTCAACACAATGCACCTAAACAGATATTCTTTTCAAAAAGTTCAAACAATTCTCAAAGTTAATTGACAGTTTTAAACATTACTGTATGGAGCAAGGGGAGGTCAGTGTTTGTGTCTGTGTAGTGACCATTCTTCTTTTGAACACCAGTAACAGAAGAGAACTTTAGAGAACCACTCTGTATGACCACAAATCTTACCTTCAGCTGCCCTAAAACTTCTGACAGAGAAATGCCTTTTTATTTGTTCTGATTCTAGACTGTAAATCTTGGAAATAGAAAGTAAATGCTGAAATTTATTCTGTCAAGTACAAACTGTACAGACATCAATACTTTCTTTTAACATACAATCAAAAATGGCTGCAGAGAGAAGGCAATTTGAGAGGATGATAGTTGGAAACAAAAGTTTCACTAAAATGTCAATGCATATTAACTTGTTTAATATTTCTTTTAACATGGCACTCCACCAAGCCAAAGGTGAAATACAGGCTTGAAGGGGAAAATACAGCTACTGCTAGTAAATGACAGGTAATTTACTGTGAGTAAGACCACAAATTATCAATAGCTTTATCACGGTAGAAGCCTATTTTGCCATACTAATGACTGTCTGTGAAAGAGGTACTTTTATCTAGGTTGCAATGAGATATCTCAAGGACATGAAATGTACTTATGGGAGGGACAAAACAGCTGGGTAGGACAGGGACATAATGGTAACATTGGAAGAAAAAAGAACTCCTTTATATTAAAATTCAGCAAATGTATCTGTAATCCCTATGAAGAACTCACTGCACTTTTGACATTGCCCAACGCTTACCACCCAAATAAATAACAATTACACACATATTTTTAATATAATAAGCTCTGATTCCAGCTCCCACAAACCAATTGAAGCATATTTCAACACAATTCCACTTATAATAAAAAACAGATGGTCAAGGAAATAGGTCTCTTTGTGATCTGATACACACATCTGCAGACATTTACAATATGCATGCATTTCCAGAGAATGCTGAGCAAGTTAAATTGGCAAATGAGAATTTTTTTCTTAATGGGCATGTGCAAACAAAGAATGTGATTCAAGAAAAGAATAAGCTGTGACAAAGATGCAACTATCCTATCAGGCCTATCTGTTTTCAAACAAATATCATACACAGCATCATGTTAAAGAAACACTATCAGATAACTTTGGAAATAGTTTGCTGCAGGGAAACATCACTCAAATGTGAGGCGGCTGAGGGTCAGGTGATTTTCAGATCTCTCCCCTCTCTGATCGAAGACCTGAGGTTAGCAATGGCTGTCCTTCAGAAATTCATTATACAGACAAGCAAAACATCCCACAGCAACACAGGGCTAGAGATTTATTTGAGGTCCTCTAAATCTCAGATTGCATTTTATGCAGACATCAACAATAGGCCATTGCCAATGGCATCATGTAGCTGCACTGGTCCCAGGGTAATTATGCACAAAAATCAGCAGAGAAATGTGTCACAACAAAGGATGGAAGAGTCTCACTCAAAAAGAGAATATCCTTGCAGAACCTCTAAGACAAGAGGTATAGAAAAAAAGAGTTCAAGAAGTCAATATGTTAACAACATTCAAAATTAGGTTGAGGCAGGTTAAAACTACACAAATTTAACCGCACATTTAAGGGATCTTGCTAGTTTCTTGGATTTCATCCCAATTTTTTTTCCTCCATATAATTCACTTCAGGCTCACAAAGGGTACTACATTGTCAGGAACGGAAAAATTAATATTTGTCTTTTGTGAAACATCAACCTCAAATTTAAGCACCACATTTCTGACATGCAGGAATCATATCCTAGAACGAGCTTTAATATCTGAGTCCATTCCAGTCCTGGACCTGTCTGCTCAAATTGTAAATAAGAAACTAGATTTACTTAATGTTATGTTTCCTCCCACTAAGGGAATGCTGAACAGCCCTAAATCTCAGCTTATGTTTATTTTGTACCACCATAGTGACCAGTGAGACATTGACAGAATGCATCAGTAAACTTGTCCAAGGGGGCCAATAATGACCATTGGGAACAGGACCAGTTTGACAAGTATAATTTCACATAAACCATCATATACAATCATCAGATGGTAAATACTTTCTGGAATTAACCATATGGGCTGGTGTCAAACTGGTGAGCTGGAGGTGAAAAGCTCTCTGTTCTATTACTAATCCCCTGAGCTATAGAGGCCCCAGCTGGTGCTTCTGCAAAGGTTCACACAGCTTTTTTCAAAAGGCCACAAAAATAGTTACAATATCTTCTTAAAGTAAACAAAATCAAAACAAAAAACCCCTTCCACAGTTTCAAGAACAGTTACATTTTTCTTAAAATAATCTCTCTGAAAGTAGCAGACTGTACACATTTTACAAGAATAAACAAACTTATCTAATATTTATCCACAAATTGGGACTCAGAGATCATTAGTGCAAATTTCTGCTGACCAGCAGCATTTATTCTATAAACTTTGGGTATCCTAAGTGGTCCATCAGTGAACAACAGATATCTTCAATCTGTCTAATCTCTTCATGGGGCATGTTTTGTTTCCAGGCATGAATGCTACTCGGTGAAATCTCCCCTTCATAGGGAAGATAGAAAAGACTGGTGGAGGTGGCAAATAATATTTGGTTTAAGCTAGCAGGAGGAAGAGGAATACCAAGAAAGGCAAAAATTTTTTCAGCAGTCTTCTGAGGAAAGCTCACAATATCTTCAAACTTGACCAGCTGATAATTTGTTGGCAGCAAGTCCCTGTTTATCCTCATCGCTGCTGCTGTGTTTGCTAGCCATAAATAAGACAACACAGAAATAGCATTTGAGTTAGAATTTGAAATTTCTTTTCTCAGTGATTCAAACTCAGAGGCATAGCCTTCATTTAAACTACATTTTTCTTTACCATTCTCCCCTTTAAACATCGCAGCCAAGCGTTGTGGAATATTTTTCAAGGAGTAAAGGCTTGGCTTATTTTTGTACAGCATTGAATAGACCCATGCCCGTGGGTCCCTCACTACATATAAAGCTCTCATTGATGGTCCTAAGATTTCCTGAAAGAAGGGAAGCTTTAATGTCCAGCTTCCACTGATTAAACTAAGCACAGGTCGTGCATTAGGATAATAGACAAGATGTCTTCTCAGTTCCCTAATATATTCAGCATCTTTTTCTTGACTTCCTCTTGCCCTGCTTCTTTGCTCTAACAGGGATTCTCTCTTTTTGGACCTTTTCTTTTTGTCTTTGCTTAATGCAGAATGCTGAGCAATTTTACTTCTGCTAGCTTCATACAAATGAATGTTTTGTAAATGCAACTTTGTGTCTTGAACTAGAGACTGGAGCCACCCTTGGATAAGACGAAAATTACCATTCTGGACATCAGAAACCTTCCATTCACATGGATCTACAAAGGAATCAATTTCAAATTCAGTCTCAGGAATTTCAAGATAGGGTGTAGGTATCCTGATGTATAAAAAGTCACTGGTGTTGAAAAACAGCTGTTTTAAAATTTCTGCACCAGAAGTGGGAAGTGAAGTAATGATAACATCTGGCAAAACGACAGGGTTTCCTTCTAATTGTTTGGCTTTATTGCCTTTATCACGTTCTATCCTTGTCACGTCAGTGCTCCACTTTGCACAGATGGGCTGAGTACACATGCTCCACACATCCACCAATTCAATAAGCCACAGTGTAACAACCAGGATCAGGATCCAACGCAACATTTTGCCAAAGGATATGTAAAACCGCCACTGAAAAGCCAGTATGACCAAACTGGCACCCAAAATTAACCCTGCAATTATGTTCACTTTGAATCCAAATGGGAAAACTACCCTATTATTTTTTATATCTTTTTTCACAGATTCAGTACCAAGACCAAACTTGGTCACTTTGTTCCCATGAACTACTTTAGCAAAACCACCAAATCCCAAGTAATCAAACCTTGCCTTTAAATTCTGATACTCAGTCACAACAGAGATGGTATTTTCAGTGTTGTTGACACTGAGCGAAATCTGAAATCCAGATTTTGCATTATCCATGAGTCTACAGTTAGAAACATTGACATATGGGCCATAGAAAAGGTAAACAATCCTTGTAAGCGTGTTTTTCATTGGAAAGGTAACATTTACAAACTGAGTCCATCGCTTTTTGAATTCAGCAGCTTGTTCAGCCTCCTGTATCCTAGCAACAGGACTACTCCCACGATGATCAAACCAAAACATCTTGTAGTGGGCATCCCACACATCCATCATAGCTCCATTGTACTTGCTCTTAAACTTATAGGGTATGTATTTAAAATCAATGTCAAGATTATGAAAAAAGGCACTGACTGAATTAACAGGAGAGTCTTCCTCCTTCTCGATATGGTCAACCACCAACAAGGTCTGAGAGTTTAAGAGCAGCAAAACGCGATACACACTTTTCAGTTTCATTGCTGATGTGTAAGCAGATACTGCCTCACCACTCACAAACATCATGTCACCAGCCTGGGAGGCTGTTATAATTTCTCCAGTTGAGTCTCCAACCTCGTCACCCATCCACTTCAGCCACTGGGCACACTCACCAAGCTGTCCTTCCCAAGGCTGGTTGCACTGGCTTGTAGGAGATGGAGCAAACACCAAGACATTGTTCAGGTGGCTGAGTTTAGGTCCATACAGAGCCTCAGATACAAACACCTGTCCATTGGGAGCAAAAGTGAAGGAATTCTGATCGGGATGTTCATGTCCCGGATTGAAACTTCTCCACCCATCAATCCATCTGTAGGGTTGAAAGTGAACAATATCATAAACAGCACGCCCACCGAGTTTCCCAGACTTGAAGGATACAAAAGTGTTTGTCTGACTGTTTGGCAATCCAGCCCCGTAAGTAACAACTCCCCAGTTGGGAAACACATGCATTTTAGCAGTACCATAGTCAGGAGGTGGCTGAGGAGTGATTTCAGCAGCATACCATATAAATTCTGTATGTAATGTACTCCACCTCTGTGCAGTGGATGGCACCATTGGCCCATCCTTGGGTCTGTGTTTTCTAATTTGCTGTGCCAGCCAGTTACCAGCTCCATTCTTCATGATGAACTTATCCAAGAAAACCAGTTGGCTCTCAGGACCATAAAACCAGTTGTAATTAGAATCTGCAACACCCACAGTCCTCTGGAAGCCTGGCAGTAGGGTGGCATAGTAAAACCAAAAGTGCATTTTTAGCCAGTTATTCTCCAAGTTGTTAATGCCAAAGTGGCGCTGGGCCAGGAAAACATACTGTGTTACTGACTTGGCTGTGTAACTCCCATAAGCTACTCCCTCATCCAGAGACCCATCCACAATATGATTGAGGAGAAACATTGTTTTCTCCATCACATCAACCACAGTGTGTTTCCAAATATTCGCCTGAGATCCTTTGTCCACTCCGGCAACTAAAGCCCCAATAAGCAGAGCAAGCATATTGGTTGCTTGGTGATTATGGAGAAGCTGCTTTCCCCAGGAACGAACCTTGGAGTACTCATACATCTCCTCGCTTACGGACCATATCTTCTCCAGGTATTTTTGCCTTCTCTCATTTTCCAGTGAATTGTACAAGAAGTCAAAAGCAGTGGCAAATCCTGTCAGGGAGTGTCCGAGTGGCACTTCATCTCCAGGAGCATTCTCAACCAGCCAGTTTTTGTAGCCAGCCATTCTATCCATATACTCTAGGGCAAAATCAAACGCAGCTTTATCTTCGGGGCACAGCAAACAGTAGAATGCCAGAGGGGGCAGGTTGTTACCATAAATCTCATTCCACTTGGCCGCAAAATCAATGTGCTTGGGTGGAGGTAGGTAGTACAAAGGGTTGGACAGCATAACCATCACTGCACTTCTGATGGCTCTGAAGAGATGCAAATGGCTTGTACGAGCCTTTTGCCTCAGTGCCTGAACATCCTGAGGGTCGAAATACAAGCTTGGATGAAGAACTGTTCTTTTCAGCTTCTGCTCAGCACTAAGACCTTCAAGTTGCTGTTTTTCATATTGATCTACATTTTCTATGAAAGTCACCCAATCAGAGTAATTGCTTACAGATTCTTCAAAAGTGAAGACATCAAACACCATTAATGCTAGAAATAGAGTATGCCCTGTGAACATCAGAGCCATGATCCATTAGGCAGCTCCTCTTCCCCAGACATACATTTCTTCACAAAACAGTGTTCAGATATCAAACTTTCATCCAGTTTGTTAAAAAAATAGTATCTTAAGGCATATTTTTATGAGAAAAGACCTATTGTATACTGTGCATTACAACAAAGGCTCAGACTACTTGTAATCTGAGATACAACATTGAAATGACAAGGCTCTTGAAAAATTAAATCTCAGGTGCCTTGTCTGTTCACACTTTTCTCAAATACAACACTACAAGCATAAGCACTAAAATCAGGTAAAAAGTAAAATCTCTACGATATGCATATAAAGCACAGATCGACTGCACAGTAACAGACTGAAACACAATCTCTTGCTAACTTGAAAAGCATGATCTAAAAAGGGAACTGGAGTAATATGTTTGCTTTTTTAAAAAGCTTTCAATTGGACCAAATTCCACTTTTAGAGCAGACGAAAACTCCACTGATCACAGAATGATATAATTTATTCCAACCAATGTGTTATATTCGATAAAATAGGGAAATATTGGAAAATAGGGAAACTTGGAAAATAGACTCCAAAATTGAAGTTACTGTCTTCAATCGTTGCCTTTTTTCAATTTCCTTACACACTCTTTCCATCTTTCTCTTTTGGGATTCATGGAGGGACAGGAAGGAAAACAATAATAAAAAAAAATCAACATAGATCCTCCATTAGATCCTTTCGATGAAACTGCAGTGATTTTAACCACTATTCCTCTCTGTTTGTGAAAGATGCACCTGAATTAAGAGTCATACTGACATATCTTCAAGTATTTTTTAATCTTCTCTTCAGCTAGTGATGCCCAAATTTGGCCTCGATGATTCAAAAAATCCTGCTCCTTCCATTATGATGCAAAAGGAAAACATGTGAAAGAAGCAGAAAGCCAATACTTTCTTGTAAGAAGAGCAGTTTCAGGTTTCCTTTCACTTCACATGTAGGTTCTTTCTGTGGAAACAGAAACAAAAGTTCTCTGAAGCTGTGCAGATGTCAGAACATATTTAAAGTACTTTGGTTAGCAAACTGCTGCTAAGTTTAGAGGAAACATGAAGGAAATAAAGGAATTTTAAGGAAATCAAGAAATAAAAGAAGGAGCATTTCAAAGTTCCACAAAATTTACCCTCGGTAAAAGAGCAATTCAGATTGGCTACTCAAGCTCACTTTATTTCACCATTTCCAGCGCGAACATGAGGTCTCATGGAATAAATTCCAGTTACGCTACCAGGAGCTACTCACAGAAATAAATCTGACGCACGCCACGGGAATTCAATTCATCACGAATTAAAACAAGAGCACACGGGTGTTTTTTACCACGGGAGCGGCTCGGCGTGCGGAAGGGCGGCGGGAAGCAGGAAACGCGGCAGCCGGGATCGCCGAGCGGGAGCCGCGCCGCCCGCACCGCGCCCGCCAGAGGGCGCCCGCCGCCGCCGCGCCCCTGCCCGCACAACTTGCACAAGTTTCGGCGCGGAGCGCGGCGCCACCGCCCCCGAGCCCAGCCCCTCTTACCGCGCCGGCTCCCGCGGGGCTGCGAAGCTCTGTCCCGGCCGGTCGGCCCGGGGCGCGGGGGCGGCCCCGGCTGGGGGCTGCGGGTGGCGGCCGCCGTGCCGGCCCCGCTCGGCTGGGCCGGGCTGCGCTCGGTTCCGGCCTCTTCCGCTCTTGCCGCTACTTTTCCACCCGGGCTGGCCGCAACTTGTGGTCCCTGCCCTCCGCCGGCGGCTCCCAGGAGTTGATGGAGAGGGAGATGCGGCGGCGAGCGCCCGGCGACAGGCGCGGGCAGCCAGGCAAACTCGCAGGGATGTCGCTCCGGAGGGGCGGGGAGGGAAGGGAGGAGGCAGGCAAGGAGGGTGGGAGGGAGGCGGAGAAGCGGCGGGGGGGTTGGCAGAGCCGCCCCCGGCGGAACGGGGATGTGCCGATCCTCCGCGCCGAGCTCGGCGGCGGGCGGGCTGCCGGTCCCGCCGTGGCTCCCCGCGGCTCTTCCCCGCGGCTGCGTGCGCTGCCCCGCTGCTCCCGGCGCCCAGCCCCGCTCCCGGCCGAGGATGGCACCGCGCCTGGGCTGCCGGCGGAGCGGAGCCGGGCTCGGCGGGAGCGCCCGGGGACAGAGCCGGAGCGGGGGGACCGCGGCTGGCGGCGGCGCAGGGCTGGGGTGAGGCGAGAGACCCGGTGCAGCGGGGCCCGGTGCGGGGAGCGGGGAGCTGAGGAGGTACGAGGGGGTTCGTGAAGAAAAGAAAAGCTGCCGCGGTGGGTCACCCCCGTGGCCCGACAGCCGCCGCCCGGCCGGACAGCTCCCGGCCGGGGCACTGTCAGGGACGCTGCGGCCCGGACACCGGCGAGCTCGGCAGGGCTGGGCAGAGCAGGGCTGGGCAGAGCAGGGCTGGGCAGGGCACGGCTGGGCAGGGCAGGGCTGGGCGTCAGGAGCCGCCGCTACTATGGGTGACAACTTTGTGGGAGCGGAATAACTCCCCAGCAGTGCCCGTGTCTCAGGGATCGCGGGGATGCGCACCTTCAGCTTCTGTTTGTGGCCGTCACACTTCTTTATTAACGGCGCTCCTGCGCTGGCTCTTCCTTTTATGCGATGCATTAAAATGGTTCTCATTCAGTTTCAGCTGAAGACTTCTGAAGTAAAATAGAAAGGCGTCATGAGGAGTGAAATCCTCTGCTGCTTGATGGTCACGGTCAGTGGTGCACTCAAGGGCCAGCAAAAAATGTTGGCCTGCCCCCCTGGTGCTGTGGTCTGCCCACAAAATCCAAGATGTGTAGCACCGTTGCTGGGTTGGAATCACTTTTGGTTGATGGTGATGACTTTCAGAGCCTGATTTCGTGACCTGATGTCTGTGACCAAGCTGTTCTTCTGTAGTCGAGTGCAGGAAACAAAAGGCTGTGAGATTTTGGGTGTGTTACCACTTACTGTGTTTATAACCTGTACTTCAAAGGATGTAGATTTTAATCAATGAGCATAACTTTTTCCAAGGCCTGTATTCTTCTTTTTTTTTATTTGCCCCCATGCCTAGAAATGCTGTTGCATATTTAAGTATTGCTTAAGCTACTATATTAAAATGAATATATGAATATATAAAGGCCATACATTATGGATACTGATTCTGTTTCTTTGTGCTACGGAGTGCACCTCAGAAGGATTAAATTATTAAATTATGCACATTTACATTAGTGATGAACTGTGCCTGGAACCATCCTAATGTCTCAGATGTGCCCTATAGACTTGGCTTAAAAGGGAAAAATACTGATTATTGCCTGGATCATATCTTCCCATCAGAGGAAATTTGCATAATGAACAAAGATCAGCACATAATTCCCTGACCTTGAATCTTTTACAGTTGTGCCTTTTATGCTACTAGGGAAGTTATTCCAGGAGGAAAGCAAAAGGAAATGTAAAGCAACAATAGAGGCCACATTCCCCTTTAAGTCTGTAGAAACTGGGTGGAATACACTACAAATGAAAACCTCCCAAGTCTTTCCTTCTATTCTCATTTTACCCATTACATTTTTTTCCCAAGGCTGGCCCATTCTGGAAGATATTAAAGTCCCAGAGAATGACTTTTCCCATAAAGTGTCAGGCAATTCAGAATGAGCAGAGTATGTGTAGGACTTATGGTAGGTTAAAAGCAAGAGTAAAACTCTCCCAAGAGCTTTTCTCACTCCCTGGGACCTGTGCAGAGATCATTATATATACAGTGTTCAACTGCAGTGTGATATTTGTGGAAAAACATGAACATGATTTACTGACTTGCCCCATATATTCACAAATGGTACCATTTAGAAAAGGTCTAATAAATAAGGCAATGATGGCATTTGTATGGCATTTTGCTTTTTCTGTGGCAGCTTTTTCACATTAACAAAGATGCACTGGCAAAATAGTTCAGACTTATTTTTTGCTAAACAAGTTTCAAAGCCAGGAGTGTCTTTAACCATGTGTGTTTTCAAAAGGTTTAGGCTACTTAGTGTCTGTCATTTTCAAGCTACTTTGCTTTGAATACAACCCATCAAAAAGACCCCCAAAAAACCAAAAAGACACAAAAACTCAACCAAAAAGCACCACAAAACTCAAGTTCAGACAAAACCAAAACCCAGTAGTGGTAAAACTAGTGTTCTTTTTTTTTTTTTTTTCCTGTTGGTTGTTTTCAATAGTCAACAGAGACACATAGTAACTATACTACTACTCAAGAACAAAGCCAAAAATTTGGATACAACTGGTATCAAGGATAAACAATTAAGTAAAGCAAACTTCAAAGGAGCTGGATTTAGATGATTAGAAATAGTGACTCTGCTTTGTAGCCAACTCTATTGCTCAAAACGAGTCTGAATTATATTGGCATTTCACCTTACCTAATAATTGCATAACGCTGTTTAAAGAGTGGTCACTAAAACAGAGTCACTTCCAGAACAACTGTTAATTGTGAAAGTAACTATTAAAAGTTACCATTTATATTTTTATTTGTAGAGACACTGACCATCTGGGAACAAATTGCATTATATTATTACATTTTCAAATATACTTCAGAACTATGAATAGCTGAAAAGAAAGGTTTATAGGCTATCAGCAAGAAAAAGATACCATAACAGAGAAATAAGTTTTGAGTCATGGGAAAGTGACCTCACTGTCACATCGATTTCTTAATGCAAGAAATCGTGGGTCATTGTTGTGGTGTGCTGCTCCAGGGATGGCATTCTGTGCTGATACCTAGATCAGCCATCTGAATGATCTTGAAAATGCTAGTAGTGCTATTTTCCTCGAGTACAGGCCAAGTGCTAACAGATGGAAGTGAAGAGTAGAACAGTCAGCTGGACTGCAACAAAATACTTGCCAGTGTCAAATAGAATAATAATTCAGAAGTTCATACATGAATGAGGTGCTGCTGTCAAATATGAGACATTAATCAACATTCACAAAAAGAGCCAGGTATTTAGGAAGGATCTGGATTGAGATAATTAGGTTCCAGTGGTGGTGAACTATTCAAACTTCTGTCTAACTCCTCAAGTAGTACCACTACATAGATTCCTAAGTTTAAAGTAGAGGTTTTATTTAAGAGGCATCACAACTTTGGGTGAGAATTCTTGACCACTTGGAAGTCTTTCCATATTGACAGGGCTTGGTGCTTATTTCATTACTCTACCTTACTATAGATGGAAAGATAGACTTTTCTGAATCTAAATCTGCTCAAAGACCTAATTCACTGTTAATTTTCAAAACACTCATGCACAATTCCTTCTTTTACAACTGACAAGTGAAAAAATCTTGGAAAATAATGCAGTGGTGATGATGAGCCGGTTTAAAGCATTAGTCTATTGTCAGAAGAACTCACCTTTCACAAAGAAAACATGGGTGAAATGGACTTTTCTCCTTTAAGGATGATAACCACAATCTCTTAACTCTCAAATGACCTAGTCTCTTGTCTGTTTCAGCAAACAGGATCCTTTTGTTTCAAACAAAAAGGGAAATCCTGTGAAATCATGTCACCTTTCAATAATGTAATCACAGATAG